CTCTCACCCCCGTCGCTGACCCGCTGCCGCTCCGTCTTCGACAGCTTCCGCGTCTGCAGGAGCCAGTGGGGAGCTGAGGGGGGCACACGGGGTCCCCGGCGGGCACAGGGGGATGCCCTGGCTTACAAGAGACCCTCACATCCTCATCCCGCTCCCTACGCATGAGGCACCGGGGGCTGCCGCGGCCCCAGCACAGAGCCGGGGTCAGACATACTGTTCCCCAGTGCAGGGGCTCATGCGGGGCTGGGGCCGTCCCAGACCATGGTCTCAGCCCACCCGGCTGGCCCTGCACCCCGGTGCTCCGCGGCGCTGCTCTGGATGGAGCCACTCTCCCCTGGAGGGATGGCCAAAATTTCCTCCCCTGCCGTGAAAGCTGCGCTGTGCCAGGGCCACCCATCCCCGCTCCTGCTGCTCTTTGCCCCCAGCCGGTGCCCACCACCCCACCGCAGGACGGGGATCCCCAGCCTGCAGCCACCCAGCCGAGAGGACGCGTGGGGGCTCTGCCACGGCCGCTGCCCACCAGTGCGTCCCATGCAGACGCGATGGCCGCGGCCCCTCTGCCCCCCAGGACAGCCCTGCCCCCCGCCAGGGTACCACCAGCTCCCAGCGCCGGGCACCAGCGTGGCAGGGGGCCTCCCCAGCCTCAATGAGGCCTTTGTTGGGGAACGCAGGCGGGGGAGGCTTCAGCCCAGGTTTTTCCATGTTCCTCTCGCTCGAGTTAATTAAAGTGGAAACTGAAGCCGAGTGCTGACACGGGCACTGAGCGGAGCTGGGGCCGGGGCCAGTGGGGAGGATGCAGACCCCTCATCCTGGAGGGACACAGCCCCATAGTGTGGGAAGGGGGGAGCCAGCCAGCCCCAGAAGGAGCCGGGTCCTGCCGCGAGCCCAGGCAGTTGCGAGTGCTGGACCCCGGGCAGGAGCAGGGGCAGAGCAGCATCCCCTGCGATGACTCCACTGCAGCCCAGGACCCCGAAGGGTCCGGCCGCTGCAGAGCCTGGGGGCCACCCAGCCGGGACCCCCGTCCAGCCCACGCTTGCGGGGCCGAGGAAAACTGAGCTGCCGCAGGCGGCCACTGTGCTCCCACCGCCAGGCGCTGCGAGAGCCGTGCTCAGCTCCTTGGCTGGCGGCCGCCATCCATCAGCCCAGGCAGCTTTCGTAATATTTTCATTGCATCACAGCCGGCCCCACGGCCGGGCTGGAGCCGCTCCATAATCCCCTCTGCTTTTAACACACGCTCAGGGACCCGGCTCAGCCCAGATGAGAACCTGAGCCCTGCTGCGGCGGGATGAATGGGACCTTTCATACCCGAGGAGGAAAACAGCAACCAAAGCCCCTGCACGGCCCAGCGGCACACCGGCTGCCCTGCCCAGCGCCACAGCCGCCTGCAGAGCCCCAAGCCCCCCACTCCCCACCGAGGAGCCCGGAGGCTTCACTGCATCCTGCAAACCTGCAAGGGCATGGGGGAAGCCAAAATGGGCTATGAACAGGGGCAGGGAGGGAGTCACAGGCGGCTACGGCTCTCCCAGCTCAGCAAGAGAGGACTCTGCTTGGAGCGGTCATGCCAGCGCAGCCCCTGCCATGCCACCCCCTAGCCAGGCAGAACGGCAGCACGATGCC